AAAATAAATAAAAATAAATAAAAATAAATAAAAATAAATAAAAAATAACAAAAATAAACAAAAATACATAAAAATAAATAAAAATAATTAAAAATAAATAAAAATAAATAAAATAAATAAAAAAAATAAAAATAAATAAAAATAAATAAAAAATAACAAAAATAAACAAAAATACATAAAAATAAATAAAAATAAATAAAAATAAATAAAAATAAATAAAAATAAATAAAAATAAATAAAGATAAATAAAAATAAATAAAAATAAATAAAAATAAATAAAAATAAATAAAAATAAATAAAAATAAATAAAAATAAATAAAAATAAATAAAAATAAATAAAAATAAATAAAAATAAATAAAACTAAATAAAAATAAATAAAAATAAATAAAAATAAATAAAAATAAATAAAAATAAATAAAAATAAATAAAAATAAATAAAAATAAATAAAAATAAATAAAAATAAATAAAAATAAATAAAAATAAATAAAAATAAATAAAAATAAATAAAAATAAATAAAAATAAATAAAAATAAATAAAAATAAATAAAAATAAATAAAAATAAATAAAAATAATAAAAATAAATAAAAATAAATAAAAATAAATAAAAATAAAGAAAAAAAAATAAAAATAAATAATAATAAATAAAAATAAATAAAAATAAATAAAAATAAATAAAAATAAATAAAAATAAATAAAAATAAATAAAAATAAATAAAAATAAATAAAAATAAATAAAAATAAATAAAAATAAATAAAAATAAATAAAAATAAATAAAAATAAATAAAAATAAATAAAAATAAATAAAAATAAATAAAAATAAATAAAAATAAATAAAAATAAATAAAAATAAATAAAAATAAATAAAAATAAATAAAAATAAATAAAAATAAATAAAAATAAATAAAAATAAATAAAAATAAATAAAAATAAATAAAAATAAATAAAAATAAATAAAAATAAATAAAAATAAATAAAAATAAATAAAAATAAATAAAAATAAATAAAAATAAATAAAAATAAATAAAAATAAATAAAAATAAATAAAAATAAATAAAAATAAATAAAAATAAATAAAAATAAATAAAAATAAATAAAAATAAATAAAAATAAATAAAAATAAATAAAAATAAATAAAAATAAATAAAAATAAATAAAAATAAATAAAAATAAATAAAAATAAATAAAAATAAATAAAAATAAATAAAAATAAATAAAAATAAATAAAAATAAATAAAAATAAATAAAAATAAATAAAAATAAATAAAAATAAATAAAAATAAATAAAAATAAATAAAAATAAATAAAAATAAATAAAAATAAATAAAAATAAATAAAAATAAATAAAAATAAATAAAAATAAATAAAAATAAATAAAAATAAATAAAAATAAATAAAAATAAATAAAAATAAATAAAAATAATAAAAATAAATAAAAATAAATAAAAATAAATAAAAATAAATAAAAATAAATAAAAATAAATAAAAATAAATAAAAATAAATAAAAATAAATAAAAATAAATAAAAATAAATAAAAATAAATAAAAATAAATAAAAATAAATAAAAATAAATAAAAATAAATAAAAATAAATAAAAATAAATAAAAATAAATAAAAATAAATAAAAATAAATAAAAATAAATAAAAATAAATAAAAATAAATAAAAATAAATAAAAATAAATAAAAATAAATAAAAATAAATAAAAATAAATAAAAATAAATAAAAATAAATAAAAATAAATAAAAATAAATAAAAATAAATAAAAATAAATAAAAATAAATAAAAATAAATAAAAATAAATAAAAATAAATAAAAATAAATAAAAATAAATAAAAATAAATAAAAATAAATAAAAATAAATAAAAATAAATAAAAATAAATAAAAATAAATAAAAATAAATAAAAATAAATAAAAATAAATAAAAATAAATAAAAATAATAAAAATAAATAAAAATAAATAAAAATAAATAAAAATAAATAAAAATAAATAAAATAAATAAATAAATAAAAATAAATAAAAATAAATAAAAATAAATAAAAATAAATAAAAATAAATAAAAATAAATAAAAATAAATAAAAATAAATAAAAATAAATAAAAATAAATAAAAATAAATAAAAATAAATAAAAATAAATAAAAATAAATAAAAATAAATAAAAATAAATAAAAATAAATAAAAATAAATAAAAATAAATAAAAATAAATAAAAATAAATAAAAATAAATAAAAATAAATAAAAATAAATAAAAATAAATAAAAATAAATAAAAATAAATAAAAATAAATAAAAATAAATAAAAATAAATAAAAATAAATAAAAATAAATAAAAATAAATAAAAATAAATAAAAATAAATAAAAATAAATAAAAATAAATAAAAATAAATAAAAATAAATAAAAATAAATAAAAATAAATAAAAATAAATAAAAATAAATAAAAATAAATAAAAATAAATAAAAATAAATAAAAATAAATAAAAATAAATAAAAATAAATAAAAATAAATAAAAATAAATAAAAATAAATAAAAATAAATAAAAATAAATAAAAATAAATAAAAATAAATAAAATAAATAGAAATAAATAAAAATAAATTAAAATAAATAAAAATAATTCGGTATATAACTTACAGTTATATTTAAAAACTGTCCACTGCTGTCCATGTCTACTGTCTGTGTCAGTGTTGCCAACCGTACGATTTAAATCGTATTTATAAGATTTTTTAACTCTGTACGATTAAGATACGATTGCATCAGTGAGATCGTACGTAAAAATACGATCTTCACTTTTTTAGTAGGACCTATCTAAGGGTTTATTTAAATATCTGCAACAACTTCAGAACATAAAACAATAAAAATCAAAAACTACTTGCAAAGATTTATAGGCCGTTCCTAATTTCTGAAGGCAGTTATTTTCATTCTCACTTATCGAGATTTTGATCATTGTGATTTTGTACCAACACGGACTATCACGGCTTAAGAAAAGCTTGCATGCAAATTTCAATCACTTTCAAGTGACAGTAATTGATTACTTTAAAAGTGTTAATTTAAAGTTTCGTGTATTTTATTTAGTTATTTATTTTTTGTTTCGATGTAAACATTTATATAAATAGATAAATTATCATGTCAAATTTTTTAAGTTATATTATGCTATACATGTACGATTTTTTATTCAAAATATCATTTTTTTTACTCTACTTGTAAGATCTCTCAAAACAATCTTTGGAAACCTGGTCTGTCTACAAACGACGTATACCTTTAGTTAACATCTGAGATGCATAGATGACACTATCGTTGCTGCTGTCATTGCGTTTCCTATCTTTATCTCCCTAATCTCTGGTTATGGCATTTTCAACTGCGCTAGCAACACCAGCACCCATGTGAAAGCTCAATTAGTGTTCGTTTTTTGGGACCTTATTTCCAAAATGCTATTCGCTTCCTTATCTCTAGTCTTTATAGTTTAATAACAACTGAGTTAAAACGTCTGTGACTGACATACAGACAAACACCGAGGTGATTCCATAAGTGATTTTTTTGATAAAAAAGGAATGCTAAATCGACTTTAGTTTTTCTCACATCGTTAATGTTCTTTTTTTAATAAATATTTTACAATAGCAAGTTTGTCGGCCTGTGAGTAGTCACATTGTAGTATATTACTAAACAAATCACCAAATTTCACCTGTTTTTATTTATTGCATCGTTGTAATGAATATTAATATCACTGAAATTGGTAATTCGCTTGCTAATTTCCTTCGATAGATATTATTTGCAAAACTCGTCCGCATAACAAAAAAATTCAATTATTTCAGTTAGTATTGTAAACAATATTTTGGTTTATTGTGCAAAAATGTTTCGACACGGCTCAATTTAGTATTGACTATAAATCGGCATTCGTGCGGTTTCCAAATTTAAATCCGTATTTTAGTTTCTATAGAGAATAAAATTAATATTCATAAGTTTTATGCTGTTATTTGCGAGTTAATAATTTAAATAATATTTAAATAAATTATTCATGCATGTTTTGTGTGTAAGGTAGATAAAATATGTTCGTGTTGACGATAAAATAAATTATTTTCTATTTACTATATTATGTATTTTATAATTATATCAGAATCATTTGATTTCCTGTTTAAAATAAAATACTGACATTATTCACATGTGCTTTTTAAAGCACAGGGAATACTTTTAAAGAAATTAATAAATTTTGGTATATCTTTTTTTCTTCTAACGCTATTTGCATCGCATTTGTCAAATCACAAGCAATATTTAAGATTTAATGGATTCCAGTATATCAAATATTTAACAATTTTTGGTGTTCTACATGGTATTCTTTAATACCTTCGTTAAGTTAAATGCCTGGCTGATTTGAAAATAAATTACGAGATAAAACATAAGACCAAAGAATACCTACTCTTTGGTAAGACAGTGAGAGCAAGTAGTCCACAGCAGCGGGCTAAATAGTGAACTGTAGAGTAGCAAATTGGGACATTTAGATATGGCAACCCTGCAGTGGCGTGCTGTGACATTTTTGGAAGTATAAAAATACAGCAGGCCAGTAAGCACAGCACCGCAGGCGAAAATTTTTTGCGACCCATTCACCATTTTGTCAAAATCTTGCTTTTTTTTCCTCAGTACTACGAATATTTGCGATTAAGGTTTTTGAAGTATTACTATTACTTTATTACCTAGTTTAGTACTAGAAGCTATACCATTGAAAAGCTTCCTTAGTTTATTTAAACGTAAAAAATATATATAATTGAAGTTTTTTTCTATTTTTTCCAGCATTTTTCGCACAGTTGACATTTATTTATACTTAAGATCTATTCGCCTATCGTCAATAGCTGCAAATTTGTCTATAACATCGTCGTAAAATTGCTGATAACTGTTTAACAAGCTGTTTTTCAATGGATATTAGGGCTAAATTAGAGAGTATGTCTTCACTTGAGTTGAATTTCGTATAAAACTTTTAATGCGCTTTAAAGCTGAAAAACTTCGCTCAACTGACGCACTTGTGGCTGGGATGGTTAGTACTCGGAACAACTTTTGGAAACCTTTTTTGAACGTGAATGTCCAAAGGGCGAGTTCTTTTCGATGACTTTGAAAAGAAGGAAGACAAACCACTAAGCGTCGAAAAGAAAACTTTGCAATCTTTAATATTATCCATGCTTCGCGATAAAACCAAATTAAGTCTATGTGCTATACAGTGAACGAAAATTGCATGTTTAAATTTCTCTTTAACTTTAGCTTGAAGACCTCCTAAATAGCCAGCCATCACGGCAGCACCATCGTAGCTCTGGGCAACAAGCTTAGAACTATATTCTACACTTGAAATAATGTCACAAACAACTTTAAACAATGCATCTGCAGTTCGTTCGCTTATGACGTAAAACAATCCTAAGAATCGCTTTTCAGGAATGCCATCCAATACATATCACACAACAATGGGTAATTGACTTAAGTTTGCTACATCTGTGGTTTCATTAAGCGCAATTGATCCGAAAGGTGCTTTTTTAATTTCACTTTTAATGTGATCAATCACAACGTAGGCAGTGAATTTAATTAAATCATTTTGGATTCTGTTTGAGGTACCTCGGAAAGTCGTCGAATCAATAAAATAATTTTTTAGCGTATCATCGTATTTTGCTAAAAAGCTTAGAAGATCCATGTAATTTCCTCGATTGGCGGATCCACTTGCTTCATTGTGACCCCTAAAACTTAGTTCATGCTTTCCCAGGAAACAAGTTACATCTATTAATCGTTGTGAGACGTCTCTATTTTCTTTTACCCTTTCGTTGTGAATTTTGTTGCTTATTTTTAAATGATGGTCCATAATATGTTCAATGCGATAAGTCTCGAACGTTTTTTCTTCAATTATAGCACTTATATGAGATTTGCTATTTACATGTCGTTTTACACTTTTGTAAAAATTATTCAATTCTGTAATATCGACTGAGTTCCAATGTGTTTTTCGACTATATTAAAAAACTGGCAAGGCCAGTAAAACAATTCCTTCAAAGTAAAATATGCTTGTTAAATTTATTTGCTGACTTTTCTACTTTCGTCTCTAAATTGATGGGATTTACCACATTATTATTGCTCACAGGCACAGTGCATAGTTCCTCCATTTTACAAAAGGAAAAATAACTACGAAAAACAAAAAGAAATCTTTCTAAAGTCTACGATTTTCCTCATACGTAGATTCGTGGTGAGAATTGCAATATGCGTAAGGCGACGTAAAAATTGCTGCCTCTCGACCATATTTCAAGTGTCCAAACAGACTGACTATACTGTCGCGGTAAAACAAGGTCAATAACACGAAGCGAAATCAATTGGAAAATGAGCCGGCTTTTTCAAGACGCGCTGACGAACTCGAAGTATATGGTGTGTGTGTGCGTTTACACAATTTATTTTCTCATGGGTGGTGCGTGCGTTTACACATTACACCAATGAATTGTTAGTACATTTACGAAGTTTACGTAATTTTTCATAGAAAATATAGTACCTAATTTAATATTAATTTCAATGCATTGTAAACTGAAAAATATTTATTTTTAAATCTCAAAGTGTAGGGAAGCGGTGCTTCCCCCGCTTCCATGGACCGCACGCCCCTGCAACCCTGGCAGCCTGTTGTCATTGACAGGGTCAATAATACATATATAGATTGCTCAAAGTGGGTCATTTACGAGTGGCCATATTGCCTCGCAAGTGCTCATTAATCAGAATCAATCTATTTTGCAAAAATGTGTTTACAAACCAATATTTAGCCTATAAATATAGTAAAAAAATAATTACCTACATTTTTACTTCAAGGCATAAGCTTATGTTTATTTTAAAAAATATGTATGATCAATCTATGTCTATCTACTTCATTGACCTTGTCAAATCACCAGGACTACAGGGTTGCCATAATTTTGCCATATCATAACCTGTCAAAACATACTGGTAGCCATTTTGTTTGGAATGCCAAATATTTGACAGTTGTATAACAAAAAATTTAGTTATGTTTGCTATTTTCGATTTTTGATTTTTTTTTTTTTTTTTTCATGACATGACCATACCATATTTTCAGAGCATTTAAAAACATCCTACAGGATGATACTACCACAACTAGTTGGTCCACGGCTGCGCAGGCTGTATTTATAGAAGAAAAGCATCAAAATATTAACTAAAGACAATAAGAGACTAGTTTATAGTAGGATTATTGTTAAAAAAATCTTAGAGTCAAGATCAGTGACATCCAAAAACAATACCAGCCATATTTTTCTTTCTCGTCATCAACTGCGAAAGTGGGATCATCTTCAGAATTGCATAATAAATATTCAAGTTCCTCTTGTGTATAAGAACGCTGAACTTTACGTTTCTAACCCGTCTTTAAAAAATTTTCCCTAAAACCGCACTTGCGTGATAAACAAAATTTACAATACTCACATTGATTACTATACGGGGCAAGAGAGAGGTCCGACACGCCCAACATAGGGCGCGGCCATTTTGAACCCTATGACACAGTTTATAGCTAAAGAATCAGATCGCTCACTCTGCGTCGGCACTTTTGATGTCAATGTTCCAGTTTATACACTGCGCAACTCGGATAATACAATATATGACAACCGCATATAATAAAACAGCAGTCTTCTGCGTATCCTGGATTTGTATCCCTGGAGTGGATGTTATTTTGGAACTTTCAACTGGTCCGAGTGAGCTAACTGATTCTTTAGCAATAAACTGTGAATCCAAAAATAATATTCACTGACACTGACAGCAGCAAGCAAAATATCAGGTGCGTTTTAATCATCCGCTTCTGCTTCCGGAATTGTCGGTTTAGTCGTTTTAAACCTGTCAGATTAAAACAAGAAAACCGACAATTCTGAAACAGAAGCGGATGATTAAAACGCACCTATTAAAAATATTGCGCCAAGATGTAGGCAACACGTAATAATGGTTCAAAATGGCGGAGTTTTCTATCTCCTTTTAAAAGGCACTCAGAAAGCTGCGCAGTGCGACCATTCTCCGTACAGTAAAAATAAATCAAAGTATGTGGTGCTAAACAATAACTGATCATTTAAAACAAGGTTATACGAATGACGTTTGAGGACGTCACGCGCACTGTACTGTAGTCACATCACATACTTTGATTTTCTTTTACTATGCGAAGAATGGTCGCACTGCGCAGCTTTCTGAGTGCCTTTTAAAAGAAGATAGAAAACTCCTCCATTGTGAACCCTTATTACGTGTTGCTTACATCTTGGCACAATATTTTTAATAGGTGCGTTTTAATCATCTGCTTCTGCTTCGGAATTGTCGGTTTTCTTGTTATAATCTGACAGGTTAGAACGACTGAACCGACAATTCCGGAAGCAGAAGCGGATGATTAAAACGCACCTGATATTTTGCTTGTTGCTGTCAGTGTCAGTGAATATTATTTTTGGAATCACAGTTTATTGCTAAAGAATCAGTTAGCTCACTCAGACCAGTTGAAAGTTCCAAAATAACATCCACTCCAGGGAAACAAATTCAGGATACGCAGAAGACTGCTGTTTTATTATAGGCGGTTGTCATATATTGTATTATCTGAGTTGCGCAGTGTATAAACTGGAACATTGAGATAAAAAGTGCCGACCCAGAGTGAGCGATCTGATTCTTTAGCTATAAACTGTGTCATAGGGTTCAAAATGGCCGCGCCCTATGTTGAACGTGTCGGACCTCTCTCTTGCCCCGTATAGTAATCAAAGTATGTGAGTCACATACTTGTATCTCTGTAATTTGTATCTCTGGACTGGATGTTATTTTGGAACTTTCAACTGGTCCAAGTGAGCTAACTGATTCTTTAGCAATAAACTGTGACTCCAAAAATAATAGGTTTGTTCGTAGAAACAGTTTCAAACGATTGGTGATTCTTTTAAGATGCGCATGCGTGATTTCCAAGTGTTTGGGATTTATTGTAATTTTTATGCTCTACGAACGCGTTTTGTAGAGCTTTGGATTCGTCTCTATCTATTCTCGTATTTTAGATACAGATTTAGTAAACGGATAAAAAAAGAAGAAAATATTTGAATTTTGACGTTGTATGAGTCACATAATGACCACGTATGTTGTTTTTTTAAATTGCACCGCATTTTATTAAAATATTTTACTTTTTTTACCTGTTTTGAATCCTTCCTTCATGTTTTGAAGTTAAAGGCTTATATTTTATCAGAATAATGGATGATAGGTTTTTGTGGTCTTATGTAATTGCATACTTTATTAAATTTTATGTATGTGTATTAATTACACTCAAAAAAAAAACAACTAATCAAATCAACAAAAGCACGGACAAATGATAAACACCTAAATTTCACGCCAAACAAATGTCGAATTGTAGCTTATTAAACATATTTTATGTACGCATGCCCCGGATTTAAAATCCGTAGAATAGACAGGGATTTTTCCAACCGTTTCCAATCAGATGGAAATCACTTCATTTGTTTCTACGAACGCCAAACTAATAATTGGAAACTATCAGTGATTCTTCAACGAACGCAAAATATTCAATGCACATGCGCTGTTCAGTTGGAAATGGTTGTGGATCGCTCTACGAACAAACCTAATATTTACTGACACTTTTTCTTT